TAATAATACTAAATTAATAAATTTTGCTAAAATTAATTAATAAAGTAAACAAAAAATGGTAATTTTTTACAAAATAATATTTTAATTAATTTATTCATTTCTTTAATTTATCAATTATATTAATCATAAAATCATTTTACAACTTACAAAATTTGAGTCTGGGCAGTATTACTATTAATTCTCGGTTAAAAAAAATTTTTTGCCTTTTCATACCGGATACTACTAATTGCGCTCTTCATACCGGATACTACTAATTGCGCTCCTCATGCCGGATAGTCCCAGCTATGTTCTCCATACCGGGTTCCACTAGTTGTGCTCTTCGTACTGGATACTACTAGTTGTTCACTTCATACCGGATTTATTAATTGCGCTCTTCATACCGGATACTACTAATTGCGCTCTTCATGCCGGATACTCCCAGCTATGTTCTTCATACCGGGTTCCACTAGCTGTGCTCTTCGTACCGGATACTTCTAGTTGTTCACTTCATACCGGACACTACTAGTTGTGCTGTTCATACGGATATTGCCAACTGTGATCTTCCTACCGGGTACCACTAGCTGTACTCTTCATACCGGATACTGCCAACTGTGCTCTTCATGCCGAGTACCACTAGTTGTACTCCTCATGCCGGGTACCACCAGTTGTGCCATTCATACCGATTTTCATTTATTTCCTGATCCGTTTTATGTTCAATTCATTATTATTGAATGATTTTGTTTTCTATTATTATTTTAGTATATCAATCAGCTGTAAATAATGCAGATGAATAAACAATTTATTATGCCAATATGATTTTGTCTTAGTTTCTATTTTTTTTTTTCATTTCAAATTTTTCATTTCAAATATCATTTCATTATTTCATTTCACAACGTTTTTCTCATTGTCCTCAATCAAAAGTGTTCTATCGAAAGAATTGGTTTTTTGCTTTTTTTTTTTTTTGAGAAAGAATTTTAAAATTTCTTTTTTTCATTTTCATTAATAACAGAATGAACATTTTTAATTTTTACATTTAACATAAAACAAAAAGTTATTATATCAATTATGAAAAATTAAATTTTAAAAAAATTGTAAATAATTTATTTGCAAAATTTTAAATTTGTTATAAAATAATGGTAATGTAATTTATGCTAAATCATTTTTTTTTTTTCTATATATTCTCGTTAAATAGATGTGAAAAGATGAATTAAAATTAATTGACTGTGAAAGATTGAATTTAAATTAAAAAATTAAACGGATAAATTCAATTAATGTTTGAATTTCAAATGAGATAGGAAGGATTATGTGAAATTATTCAAGTAATCAAAATTAATAAATATCAAAAATTTGCTTAGAATTTTTTCTCGAATTGCTCATTTTCAGGTTTAATTAATTATTTTGCTTTTGTATAGTCTAAATTATACAATCATTTTAAAATTATTTAACAACCATTGAACTCAAATAATGCTAATATTTCATCAAAAAAAAAAATAGGAAAATTCGAGAAAAGATTCTAATTTTGAAGTTAGAATTAATTTCTTTTTTTTTTTTTTAATTAAATGTCAGAGTTCTTTGAAGCAAATCATTTATATGTTAAATTTTTTTTTTTTGAAATGGCAAAAAGAAAAAAACAATTCATTAAATTAACATTTTTTGATAAAAAAAGTTTTCAAAAAGTAATCAATATTTTAGTTTTGAAATAAATGTTAAATGATTATTCTCATTTTGAATAAATATGAACAATTGAAGAAATTTGCGTCACAATTCGACAAAATACTTTTTTCAACCTTTTTGTCACATCAAATATTTATTTCCTTTTTTGAAATTGTCTTTTTGTAAAAGATAAATGTCACCTTTTTCATTTATGAATCATCATTTTCAATTGCTACAAATTGAAAATACTTTTGATTTTTTTTTTTTCAAAATAGTGGAAATTATATTATCTCACATTTAACCTTTAACCTTTCATAAAATTAAAATAAATGTGAAAGAAAAAATATTTAGAAAAACGAATTTTAAAAATTGATGAGTTTTCTGTTGTATTATTGTTATTGTTTGATTGAAAAATGTGTTTTAATTTTATTGCTAAAAAATTTTTTTTCTTTTTATTATTGTTGCGATTTGATTAATTTGCAAAAAAATTTTTTAAATCAAACATTTATTTTATCACAAAATTGATAAAACTGATAAAAAAAAAATTTTTTTTTATTATTACTATAAAATATAAATTAACAAAAATAAATTTCACAAATAATAATTAATTTTATTGCATTTTTATTTCTATTATATTATTTTTTTTCAAAAAATTTCTAATCAATTATTAAATTCTTCAATTTTTAAATATAATTGAAATAAAAATAAATTTCAGCAGTATATCGTCGATCATTAATAAATAAAATTTTTGTAAAATTTTGAATAATTATGAAATTATAATTAAATGCTCATAAAGTGAAAAAGAATTTTTTTTTCTTCAATAATTTTAATTTTTTAATCAAACTACTGCAAAATATTTGAATTTTTTTTTTTTTTTGTTTTAAAATCATAGCAAAATATAAAGTTTCTTTTTTCTAGAAATTTACAAAAAAAAAAATTTTTTTGTTTTCATTTCTTCCTTCTTCTAACTTTTTTTTCTTAATTTTTTTTTTTATTTTTGCTTTTTTTCTCCCTAATTTTTGATATTTAATTTTTATTTTTTTTTATGATTTTCGATTTTTAATTTTCCTTTGTTGTTATTTTTTTTTCTCTTTTCTATAAATTTGTCCTTCAAATCGAACATAAAAATAGTAGGAGAAAAGGAGCCCAAGCGCATTTATACCATCAAAAATAATAGAATGTCTCTGGTAAAGTGCATCATTGAATTTATGAGAATTGTTTGAAAGAAGATTTGAATGAGTTTAAAAAAAACAGAGAGAGAGAGAGAGAGAGAGAGAATTAATTGATTTTCAGTATTGGTATGTATTACTATCAAATTATCATTCAATTCTCGGGAATTTTTTTTCATTCACATTTTTGAATTTTTTATTAAAAATTTGAATAAATTAAAATTAAAATTAAAATTTGGCCTCATTCTAAATTCTTGATTTAATCTATAAATTTTAATCTAACATTCATTAACATTTATAATTTAGACATTCAATGTATTATATTAGGTAATACTTAAAAAAAAGAAATTTTAAATATAAAAATTTAAATGAGCAAAATTTTAAAATTTTTCAAAAAGAAAAACGAAGTTTAAAAAGATATTAAAATTAAAAATGATAGCATTGATAATCAAATGATAGATTTATTTAAGTGTAAATGTTAATATTAAATAATATTATAAACTTTTTTGATCTTCCAAAAGATTTATGCATTTTTTTTTTCATATTTGATAATCATTTAACAATTGTATGTTAAAATGATAATAATAAGATTTGATAAAATGATAATAACTTGAAAAGGATTAATTATTCACTTATCATTAACATACATCAAATAGTAATCATAACTCGAAAGGTCACTGTCATCTGTCGTTTATTATTTATCATCATTTAAATAAATATAAAAATGATTGAAAACTATTTTAAAATAATATTTTATTTATTTTTTAAAATGAATGATAAAAATTTAAGGAAAAAAAATTACTCAATATTATATAATAACAAATTTTTGATATTTATAATAATGAAATTTTTTGATATTAAATTTTTGATATAAAACAATCATATAATAAAATTTTTAATATTTCATTTTAAATTCTAATCATTCAATTCGAGTAATTTTTAAATAAAACAAAAAAAAAAGGGATCGCATAATTATTCTGTCGATGTAATTATTCTCTCAAAATTATAATTTTCAAATTACAATTTCGTTTTTCACTCTTTTTAGCTTATCAAAAATATTATTTATGCAATTTTTTCTTCATTTTTTTTTGTTTTGTTGTAAAAAAAAAAAAATTTGTTTTATTTTTTTTAAATAATAAAAAATTATTTTTTAAAAAATTTTCATAAATGCATTTTTTGCCTTTTTGTTGCTCAATAATTGCGCAATTATTCCTTAATCATTCATTATGCAATTAAATAATTATAATATAATTAAAAATTATTAAATATAACAACCCTTCTTCTTTTTTTTTTAATTATTCAAGTAATAATTGTATTTTTTGAAATTTAATAAAAATTTTTCTTAAAAAAAAAGCATTGCATTTTTTTCTGAAACTAAATTTTGATGTGTTAAAGAAGTAGGAAAAATTTAATTTTTGATCAATTAAACAAATTAAATTTTCATAAGAAAATATATAAATTACATTTTGAAAGCAACGAAAAAAAAATCATTAAGCAATCATTGATAAAATAATAATGAAAATAAAATTTAAATTTTAAAAAAAGAAAAAGCAAATTTTTAAAAAGGAAATATTTGCAAAGCAATCATTAATAGGTAATAATGGAAATAAAATTTAAAAATACTTATGGTATTGATGAAAAAATAATTAAAAGCAACAAAATGAAAAATGAAAAAAGAGAAATTTTTCTTTTTTTTTTTGTAAAATGAAAGATCAATTATTGATTTACCTGTGTAATCAAGAGAAAAACTAGTTCTTCTTTTTCAATTCTTAAGCAAACTATTTTATTGTAGGTGAAAAAGTATTTTAAATTACTACTTAAACTAACAAATTTTCTTTTCATTTAATTTTCATATATAAAATATATCGTTTTTTTTTCTTTTTTCATTTCCATTATTTCAATTCATTTATATCAAATTTTTATTCTAAAAAAGTTTTTTTTTTTTTTTTTTAGAAAAAAGAATAAATTTTCTTTTTAATTTATTCATTTTTTTGCTTATAAAATATATGTGTTTTCTTTCTTCTTTTTATTTATTTTTAGTTTATTTATTATCAAATTTTGTATTCTAAAAAGAAAAAAAAATTTGAAAATTTTTTAAGAAAAACATTAAATATTGCAGAAAATATAGAAATTAAAAAAAAAAAATAAATAAAATAAACAACGATATTATTTATTAGTGCAATGAAAAATGCAAGAAGAATGTTTTTAATCATTGCGACAATTTGGTTATCGCATATTTGTCATAGCATTGCGACAAAATTAGTACGAATTGAACGACGAATTCATTTTGGAAAGAATAGTAAAAAGTATGTTTGGAGTTTATTATTTTATCACTATTATTAATATTATGATTGTATTATAGTTATATTCATTAGATCATTTTATCACTATTATTAATATTATGATTGTATTATAGTTATATTCATTAGATCATTTTATCACTATTATTAATATTATGATTGTATTATAGTTATATTCATTAGATCATTTTATCACTATTATTAATATTATGATTGTATTATAGTTATATTCATTAGATCATTTTATCACCATTATTAATGTTGTGATTGTATTATAGTTATATTCATTAGATCATTTTATCACTATTATTAATGTTGTGATTGTATTATAGTTATATTCATTAGATCATTTTATCACTATTATTAATGTTGTGATTGTATTATAGTTATATTCATTAGATCATTTTATCACTAATATTAATATTATGATTGTATTATAGTTATATTTATAGCTGCGATTTGATCATTTTATCACTGTTATTAATATTATGATTGCATTACGATTATATTTATAGTTATCATTAGAATTATTATTTTATCACTTTAATTCATATTATTATAGTTATCACTAGAATAATTATTTTATCACTATTATTAATATTATGGTTGCATTAAAGTTACATAGATTGGATTAGAATTATTTTATCACCATAACTGGTATTATTACCATCATGATTTTATTATAATTATATTTATGGTTATGATTGGTACTATAATTTTATCACTATTATTAGTACTATTATTATTATGATTTGTATTATAGTTACATTTACAGTTATCACTAGAATTATTATTTTATAACTATTATTACTATCATGGTAATATTATAGCTATAATCATAGTTATGACTAGATTATTTTATCATTATTATTACTATTATGATTATATTATAGTTATCGTTTTTATTAGATGCATGAAAAAAAAATTGCTTATTATTTACTTAATTTAGATTTAATTTAATTTTAATTCAATATTCTCTAACTATTATTTTTACCAAATAAGTAAGCAAAGAAGAAAGGAAAAAAATAATTTCTTTTTAATTATAAATTTAATTTGAAAATTTTTTTGCATAATTTTTGACTTCTCAATTAGTTTTCATTTCATTATTAGTTTGTTTTAGAAATTATTGAAATATATTAAATAATTCAAACAAGAATTAAATTTGATATAATTAAATCAAAAATTTTAAAAATTTCGTTTAATTGAAAAACGATAACAAATTTTTAATAAAATAACAAAAAAAAAAAAAAAAAAACGACATGTGATGTTTTATTTTGCCTTGAAATCTTAAATAAATTAAAAGAAAAAAAGTTAATTTTAATTAGATTTATAATAATTTTTTGATTCACATTTTTTTATTTATTTAAGTGTTACTTAGTATTTTGATAATTATTTTTGGTATTTGTTTATTATTATAAAACTATTATCAGTGATACGATTATCAGTACTTTTTCTTTTTTTCTGTTATCAGTACTTTTTCTTTTTTCTTTTTTTTTCAATCAAAATTAATTATTTTCAGTAATGCAATTAATTTTCGTATCCCAGAATATTTTGATCTTAAAGGTGAAAAACTTAATTCATTAATGGAAATGATTAAAGAACGTACCAATATGTTACAACAAAATGAGGTGATAAATGATAATTTTTAATTGTCTACATTTTCTACAATTTTCTTTTTGCTTCTTTTTATTATTTTTTTTTTAAATTTGAAATTCAATTAATTTGGAGTAATTTATATTTGTAAATTTGTGGTAATTTAAAATAATCTATATATTGAAGTTATTTTTTATTATTAATTAAAGATAATTTAGAATAATTTATGTAAACTTTTTTTTTTGTTTTTTTTTATTATTAATTTTTAAATTTTTTTAAAAAATATTTTAACAAAATTAAATATTTTATCTCTGTGATATTTTTACTAATTTTTTGAGAATTATTTTTTAGTTAAAAAGAAATGAAATACATAAACGTTGTTTGTGGATAATTGGAGTAATACTTCCGGCATATGCCTTAGCATCAATTATTTGGATTACTGCAAATATTATCTTTTACAAAAGGTTAATCATTTGAAATTTTAAAAATTAAAAAAAAAAATTTAGTTTCAAATAAATATATATTTATGTTTGAAAAATGAAAATTTTAAATTGTAATTTAAATTCATAAATTTTAATTATGTATCATATGCAGTGTGAAATGATGAATAGATCAATGTAAACAAGTGATTATAACTTTATTTAATTCAAGTAATTAAATAATTTTATTAACACAAGTGATTAAACCTTTTTTTTAATATAAGTAATTACAAGTAATTAAACAAACAAGTAAATTTATCTTTTTTTTTACACAAGTAATTAAATAATTTTACTTGCACAGGTAAATAATTTCATTATAGGAATTGCTAAAAATTTATGAATAAAAATGAATTTTAACAAAAGGAAAAAAAAAACAAGAAACGATGAATTGATTATCAGTGATAAGTGATAAAAAAAACTATAGTAATTTTAATTTTAATTAGTAATTAATATTATAGGCAAAAAGAAAAATTAAAAAATGGTGGTAAAGACAATATATTTAATCGAAATCAAGAAAGACAGTTAGTTTAATCTTTTTTTCTTTTTTGTAAAAAAAAAAATTTTAAATATATTTTATTTTTTTTTTTTTAATGATAACAATTAATTATAGACGTTTGTTGGAGCGATATAATCAAATTCCATCAGTTGTTAATTCACAATTTGTTAAACAAACAACGTTACCTGTGACTGAATTTAATGATGAAAGTAACGTTGAAACCGTGAATTCCACGTTTGAAGCTAATCGTGCACGTGTTGAAGCAATATTAAAACGTAACAATGAACCACAATTTATGAGGAGAATTTAATAAATTTTTAGCAATTTATTAAATTTCATTTCGTTTTTTTTTTTTTTACCAATTTCAAATTTAACAAAAATAATTAAAAAATTTTATTTTGTGGGTTTCATTTTTTTTCCGAAAATATTTGTACAGAATGTAAAATTTTGTGATAAAATTTTGATGAGAAAAAAATCTTTATTTTTGCATAATATTAAATGAAATTAATTTAATTGCTGTGTAAATCTGTAAAATAAAATGAAATTATCAAAATTATATTGGTTGAAAATTTATTTTCAAAATATTTTTTGAAATTTTTCGACGAGTTGCTTTTTTTTTTTCAATTTATAATTATTAAAGTTGTGTTTGTATTTTTAATCTTTTAATTTATTTAGCAAACAATGTTGATACAAAATTAAATTTTATTCTTATGTTAAAAAAAAAAAAAAAAATTGTTTGAATTAATTTTCTTTTTTTTCTGCTGTTGAAATTTAGATTAGAATAATTTATTGATGAAGAAAATGACAGTTTTAAATTATTCTTAAAATAAAACTTTAAATAAATTGTTTTTTTTTTATTAATTTTGCATGTTCTACACTTCAAAGTTAAAGTAATTGAATTTCAAAATTGCAGTTATTTACGTATATTTCGGTAAACAAAAAAAAAAAAATTTGAAAAAAAAGTAAGCAAAATTTTAATTAGAAGTAAGTTACTTCCTAAATTAGATGTAAAATTAAGTATGCTTACATTTAATAACTAATATAAATAATATTTTAAAAAGAAAATAACCCAATGAGATTAATTAGAGCTATTTTTGGAAATATTTTTTGATATAATTTTAAATCGAAAAATAAATTTAATTAGAAATTTTTTGTTAAATATTAATTTCATAAATTAAATTTAGCAAGAAAAATTAAAGAAAAACTTCGTTGGAATGTATTTTTGGAATGTAGATTAAATGCAAATTTTATTGTTTCTTTTTAAGCATTGTTTGAAGCATTCAATGATTTTTATTTCATTTTAACTTTTATCAATTAGTTAATTATTTATCATTTATCTGATAATTTATCTTTTTTTTAGTAAGTTTATTGGGTTGCAAAAAATTTAAATTTAAAATTTATTTGTTTAAATTTTACTTGCATAAAATTAAAACTGTTAAGCAGTTGTTGCTGCTCTCAATAACATCAAAAAATGTTAGTGCTGCTAAATTGTTAAAGTAATAAACCAAAATCCGGAAAAAATTATTTCCGGTGCACTTAAGGTGAAGCAAAATATTAGTGAGAAAATTGTATGATTTTCCGGAAAATAATAACTGAAATAGTTATTTAATACAAAACATTATTTTCGATTAAAAACTTAAAATATTTCAGTTTTGTTTTGTCTAAAATTGTTAAATTGATATAAACGCAGATGTATTTGAAAATGGAAAAAAAAAATGAAAAAAATTATCAGAAAATATTTGTTTAAATTTTGCAGAAAATAAAAAAAAAATTGTTTATTGATTTTTGGAAAGTAAACTTTTTTAAAGATTTGCTGAAAAATGATTTGAAATTGTTTCATTATTTTAAACTTCCTTTTTATGATTTGAATTTGAAAATTATTTATTAAATTAATTTAAAATTTTTCAAAAATAAATATAACTTTTTAAGCATTTAAATTTTTGTCCTCTTAAGATAATTAATTAAGTTGTAAAAATATTAATCAATCTTGAATTCAAAAAAAAAAGAAAGAAAAAATTGTTTAAGAAAAGTTGATAACGTAAAAAAAAAAATATGAATGCATTGGTATTTATTTCTTTCGAAAATTAATTTAAATTTAATTAACAAAAATTTAAACTAATTTATTATCTTTTTCAGCATGTGAAATCTCAGAATAAAACGTTGAGCAGAAATCAGTTTGATAAAAATAACAATTTATCATTATCATTTTGCTGTTAATCACAGAATCATTATCAACTGAGAGGAAAATGAAAAAAAAAGCAATTTATTATCAATTATTTATTAAATGTTATAAAAGATTCAATATTAAATGAATGATAAATCAGTAATTGATAACTTAAAATAAGCATTTAATGTATTTAAATCACTGAATTATTATCTAACTGATAAGAAAATTAAAAAAAAAAGAAGAAAAAGAGACGAATGCAAGAAGCAATTTGTTATTATTTATTAGATATTATAAAAGATTTATTATTTAATAGCATTAAATAATTAATAAATCAGTAATTGATAACTCAAAATAAACATTTAATATATTATGATTTATTGAAATTTCGACTAAAGCACATAAAATTCAAAAAGAGAGACAAGCATACGTTAACGTCATCTAAAATCGATTAATTTAATTCATTTCTTTCGCTTTTCTTTCTTTCATTTGTACATCATCACGTCATATCACGTCATATCACGTCACATCACGTCATATCCATACGTTTCTCTGTTATGCTAGCAATGCTTTAAAATCATTGATTGCTTCGTTGTTCTTACCACCATGAACTTTTACTATTGGCTGAAAAAAAAAAAAATGAAAAGAAAATTGTTTCAGTATTTTCTAAAATATTTAATTTATAAATAAATAAAATTTTGAATTTTTACAAAATTAAATTAGTAAAAAAAAAATTTTATTAAAGAAAAAAATAAATATTTTATTTTTACTTACCCTTTTTGGAAATAAATGCCATATTCGTATACTAATTATTATACCAACCAAATAAAACATTATTGAAATAATTGAATGAATTGACAATGGTAATGCAAACATCGTATAATTAAGTTCTAAAAAAAAAAAGGAAGTTAGAATCAGAAAATTTGAATGAAATTTTAAAAAAATAATTTAAGAAAAAAATAAACAAATAAATAAAAAACGGAATAATTGATGTAATTAATTTTTATTTTTTTTTAGTATAATAAGAATTCAATCAAATTATAATTATAAATATTTAAAATTCAAATTGTAATTACAATTAATCAAATTATAATTACAAATATTTATTTTGTATCAATGAAAGACAAAAAAAACTGTTCATTTCTCTTTTTTTTTTTCAATTATCTTTTATCAGTGATATCAACATTTTAATGATAAAATTACTTAATCAATAATTGCAAAAGGCAAAAATTTATTTTTTTTTAATACAATAATAAATTTAGATTAAATTAATTAATTTTCATCGTTTAATCAAAATTTTTGTTTTAACCTTAATGCATGCAAAAAATTGATTTTAAAAAATTTATTTGAAGGAAATATTATAAGAAATGAAAAAAAAAAAAAAACCTATCATTTCTTTTTTTCTTAAAAAAAAAATAAAATTAAAAAAAAAAAGAAAGTAAAATCAAATAACTCATTAAGAATAATTTTTAATTATTGATCAAAGATTGATTAAAATGAAAAATTTTTCCAAATTGTCATTTGAGCGAAATCATAAACCAAAATAGTAAATGAATGACGCGGAACGATTAAATAATGACAAACGGACCTAATTTATCACAGTGACACACAAAGAATCACCGATCAGACAATTTAGTGAAAATTATAAACTAATTTAAAAATAAATTAAATTTTATTTATTTATATATTTATTTCATTCAATTAAAATATTTCAAACTTATTTATAAGTGTTTGTAATTTTTTTTATTTACTTTTTTAAAGTAAATTATCTCACTCATTTTTCCTTCTCTGAATCCTCTCTCTCTCTCTCTCTCTCCCTCCTTCTTTATGAATTAGAAAATAATTTTAAAAATTATATTTTATTAATGATAATCATTTACTGTATTGTTATATTTTTTTAAATTATTTATAAAATTTCAAGGTTAAAGTTCATTTTGCGAATAAAAAAAAAAGACGTGAAATGATTAATGAAAAATTAGCAATAATTTAAACTTTCATTGTGAACAAATTAAAAATCAATAATCATAAATGAAAAAAAAAAAAAAGAAAATTTAAAAAAAAAGAAAGTGAATTGTTCGATCTTCGCTTACACATTAAATATGATTTTGAATTTTTAGGAAAGAATATATCATTGTACTTATAAACTGCTTAATCGGTTTTTTAATTCCGGAAAAGTATTATTCAAAAGTACATTTACAACAATAATAATGATAATGATAGTGATAATGATAATAATAATAGTAAGTCATAAAATATTATAAATATTTCAATAATATAATAATGTTGATAAATTTTAAAATTTCTATTTATATTGTTTGATTTTTTATCATAAAATTTATCATAGCATTATTAACAACTCAAGATCAGTTTCAAATTATTTATGATAATTAATTCAAACTGATAATAAATTAAATTCAAATACAATCATAAATGAAAAAATGAAATAATACCAAATTTCTTTTTTTTTTATTACCAACATTAATTTTTTTCGTTTTATCAATAATTTAAGAAAATGATAACTTCACATTTTCACATTTTATCAATACTTTTTAAAAAAAAAAAAAGGAAATTCACATCAATTGTTAACTTTAACAATTTTGATTAATTTTCTTTTTTTTTTAATAGGCAATTTAAATTTTAATGAAAAATTGATGAAGAAATCATTAATGAAGAATTTTGATGTTTGGTAAACAGGTTTTTTTTGCTAAACTTGAATTTTTAATATCTTAAATAGTTCAAAAATGGATAAAACTTTTTTTGCTTTGTTCATAAATTAGTTTAAATTAAAATCCTGAAATTAATTTCAAGAATAATTTTTGCCTTTTTTATAGTCTTAAATTATACTAAAAAATTTTTGTGTTATATTTGATAAATATTATCAATGAAAAAAGTTATTTCATTCAGTTAATATAATTTTATTAAATTATTTCTAAATTAATCTAAATATAATTTAATACATTTTTTTAATACAAATTATCACTAACTTAAACATTACCAAAAAACAAGAAAGGAGAAAAAATATTAATTATAAAATTTGAAAAAAAAAAAGATAAAAATTAAATATAGCTATTAAAAAAAATTACCATTTCTACGTGATAATGTTATTTTATTTGATATATAAGTTAAATTAAAAAAATTTTAAAAAAAAAAAGTTTAAAAAAAAAAAATTTTTAAAAAAGAAACAAACCACAATTATTTATTTCTTTTCAAGTTTTTTATAATTATTTAAAAAAATGATTAGAAATTGAAGAAAAAAAGAAAATTAATTTTATTTTTTCTTTCAAGCAAAAATTAATTTTTTTTTTTCATTTAATTATCAAATCATTTAAATAATTGATATTAACATGCATTGTTTAACTTTTAGAAAGTATCTGTTTTTTTTTTTTTTAAATAGTTAAAAAATAAATGAAGAAAAAGAGACAAAAATAGGGTCAAAGGGCAATGAAGAAAAATCGAAGAAACGATACTCTGAAATTTTTTGAAAAAAAAAAAAAAAAAGATCAATGAATTTTTTGACTTAATATATTTTTAGAACTAGAATGTAGCTTTTAAAAAATTTTTCGGTGCTAATTAAGTTATACTAAAATATGCAAAAAGTAATAAACATTTTCTTACTTTAAATTAATATACAAGTAAAATATGATTATTAAAGTTAATACACCTACCGAAATAATGGAATAAATTCATCTTTTTCATTAAATTAATTTTTATTTACATATATATTTTTATTAATTCTTGTTTAAATTCATCCTTTAAACATTCCATAATTAATTTTATTTATATTTTATTATCAACTAATCAATGCTCATTATATTATCATATGTTGCTTTAAAAGCTTTCTTTTTTATTTAAAAAAAAAAAAAAAATTGAAAGTTAAATATTAGCTTTTTTTTCAAAAATTTGTATAAATATAAATTTGACTTTTTCTTTTTTGAATTAAAAAATTTGCATTCGATAGCAAAAAATTTTGATAATCAATTCAATTTAAATTTAAATAATTCGTTTTTTTAATATTTCTTATATAAATGAAAAGAAGAAAGAATTGTTGAAAAAAAAAAAAAGAGAAAAACAGGGTGAAATGGTGTTGCATTTATCATTTGACACAATTTAAAAATTATTTAATGTTTAAATATTAAAGTAAAATTATTTAAATTATTCGGATAATATTAATAAGTTGTATATTTGATGATTTTTAATTTTTATTTTATTAATTGATGAAGAAACTACTAACAAAATTTAATAAAATAAAAAAAAAAAAAATTACTAAATAACTATTTATATTTCTTTCTTTATATCTTATTTCTATTTTTTTTTTTGTTTATAATTATAATATTTTCGCATTTGTTTATAAATTTAATGATTTTTTTACTTACATTTTTTAATTATTAACTTTAAACTGTATTAGATATGATAAAAAATTTTTCAAATACCTTTCTTTTTGTTTATTTTTTTCAATTATATCATTTTTTTTTTTTTTGAAATATAAAAGAAAGTTGTTAATTGTTTGAAATGAATTATTAAAATGGAATATGCCAATAAAATTAAATGTTTTTACATATTTAAATATAATCAATTCAAATTAAATAATCGATAGTAAAAATTAATTTAGAATTATTAAATATGAAATTTGCTAAAAAAAAACACAAATGATAAATATTTTTTCAATTTTAATTAATTAAAAATTAAATAATAAAAAAAAAATAATAAATGTTCTTTCAATTTTAATGCTTAGCAGAAATGAATAATTAGAATGGTAGACAATCTTAATCGCACATTTTTTTTTTAACACATTTCAATAAATTATTATTTATTAAAATAAAATTCATAATTAAAAAAAGAAAAAAAAAATCACATCTTTATTTTTTCTCATTTTTTTAATTTCTCATTTCTTTGTTTTAATTAATTTTAATTATTTCTTTAAAAAAAAAAAAAAAAATGAATAACAAAATAGCATCGTTCATTATTTTAATATTATAATAGAATATAAATAATTTATGAAAGATTGAAAAAATTATTTCTGCTAAATAATTAATTTCCCAAACAAAAAAGAAAAAATATCATTTCTAACATAAAATTAATGAATTTAACAAAAAATAGAAAAAACGAACGAATATACTAAAGGAAAGAAACGAAAAAAAAAATCTTTTCTCATTTCATTTTCTCTTTCTAATTTTTTTTTTTCAATTATAACAACAGATGCTTTTGCACAAAAATTTCGATAGCATATTTTATCATTAGTAAGTTAGAAAGAAAAAAAAAGAGATAAGAGAGAAAAAGACTGTTTAAAAGTCTTCAAAATAACATTTTTATTTCATTTTATTCTTTTAAAAATATTTTAAATGTAATTTTTAAAATTGCAGCATTTTATTATGCCAAATTTTTCGCTATTTTTTTTTTGGAATAATTTGTAAAATTTGCATAATTACATTCAATATTGATAGTAATTATGAAAGGAAATAAGCTGCTTCATAAATTTGTTACTTTTTTCTTTTCCTAAATTTCATTGAATTTCAGAAAATATACTCATGCATTTTATTATTCTTTATCTGTTAATTTTTATAAATTTGAGAAGTTTAACTCTTTTTTTTCATTTGAGAGAACCAAGTAAGTAAATAATATTACTTAAATTTAAAAAAAAAAAACTTACAAAATATTAAATAAAGCAAAAATTCTTGCAACTAAAATGAATACTTAATTAAATCAACCACCTGAGAAATGTTTATTGCAAAAAGATTCAAAAGTTTCGTTGTGTGATTCTGTATCACTTCACCTGTGGACTGAAAAGTGACATTAATGATTGCTTTTACCTTTAGCTAATATTTCTTTTAATGCTAAGATTAGTGTTTTCTCGGTTTTGTTTTTATAGAATCTTTGAAATTATACAACTAGACGAATATCCTAAAACTACGTAATATCATTACGTAATATCACGTTATCACTCTAAAATGTTACGTGATATTTTTAATTTTAAATTTAGCGCATTCGTCGTATATTAATCTTCAGGCAATATAACGACAATAACATTGTTAATGCTTTAGTTATTTTATTATTATTACTCTTTTTTTTATCTTCTTGAACAATGAAATATGAATATATTTTATAATTTCATATATTTTTATATAAAATCATAAATGTATTACGAATAATGCAAAAATATACAGTAAATGAAACATTTTGGAATGTTACATATACAGTAATAATAGTCTTTTAAAAATTTGTAGAACAAGTGTTATTTACTATTATTAATATTGCTTATTACTATTGCCATTATTTATTATTATCATTATTTATTATTATTGTCGTTATTTATCGCTACTGTTATTATTGTTTAGTATTATTAATATTATTATTAGTAATTGTTATTATATGTATATATTGAGATTTATTAAAAGTCATTTTTTTTTTCACTTCATTATATTGTTTACAGTCTTTTTGTCATTGTGTTACATATACATATAGAATAAGTATTATTCTTGCCATTTACAAAACACTTTTTTTCCTTGCTTCTGACCATTGCTACTAATGAAATAACGCACTATGTCTGTTCAATTTAGCAAACATCGAATATATTATTTCTTTATTTTTCATGTTTCTACTATAGCTGTCTAAAAGCCCTTAGAATCCACATAACATCTAATCCACGAAAAATGACACAACAAAAGTCACCTCATAAACCCACCCCAGCCCTATCTCAAATACATCGCGCTACGGACCAGTGCACATTTCGCCGTTTTATGCCGTTATAATATATATATAATTAACCTATTCTTTTTTTTAGTATTTTGATGTAATTAAATTATGTCTTCATTTTTCATCTTTAGTTAAATTATGCAGATTTCTTCGAAACTAATGGAATGTTTACAATTAAAATAAAAAATAAAAGAAGAAATGAGTGGGCTAAGGATAATGATTTGCATGAATAATAATTCAGTATTAAAGTTGAATCATTTGTGGATTTGGATATCTTCTGTTTGGTTCTCTGTTTAGTTCTAGTTTGATTTTCATGTTCTGAGACTATTTTCAGGATAGAAATAAAAAATGATAATTAGGTTTATTTTTATTGATGTTGTGAACAGAATGAAGAGGATGAAAATTTTATGAGGGAGAGGAAGAATCCTTTTATTAAAATAATCGTATTGGGTATAGTCATATAATAATTCATATTATTACGCTTTTATATCCGAATTATTCAGATAATTCGGATTAGTTGAAGTGTAATTGAAGTGTTTATTGCATTTTTCAGCATTATAATGATTTTGCTTCAAATTATTGATTATTCATATTGTTTTGTTTTTCATAAATTTTCATATCATTTTTCTTTTTGATCGAAATTTTATTCAGAAGCATTGAAAGCAAAATAATTGTTATTTTTACTTAATTTCATATTTTGTCGTGGTATATAAATGAAGGGATATAGGATTCATGGATGAAAATCAGACACAATGTTGTTCATATTCACGGAACAGCAATTATTTGTCATATAATAAACGAATTGTTTTTGTACGACGACCAGGTAAATTTTGTTTCAATGACCAATAATATATAATAATCAAATAACGCATTCATTCATTATTGATTCAAAACACGGATAATATAATATACAGATAAAGAGATTTTAAATATTACTTGATTAATGCTAAATTCTGAAAATGCTTTTTTTTCGTGTAAATTCTTCTAATAAAAATTTTTCATTCATTTGTTGTATTCCAGGAGCAAATAATTTTCCATCCGCGGATTGCTTTCGATGCGAAGATTGTCTTGCACCAAATCGATTAGATGTTGGAAATGGACAATGTATTGTACGGACATTGTTCCTTTCAGTGGATCCAGCACAGGTCTCTTAATCTGATTGCGCAAAAATTCCTCAACTTTACATTTTAAATAAACCGAATACAATTTTATTATTGGACGAGCTTAGAATAACAAGGATGTAAATTTCGATTCCTTTTAAAATGTTACTATAATGTATACTTCGAGTGGATTTTGAAATTCCTCTATTTAAGTTATTATTTCCAATTCTACTCAGTTTTTAGCGGTGCCGGATGAACAAATCAACAGGTGTTGATTATTTAGCACCATACGAAATAGGCGAATTAGTTGACGGCTTGGAAGGAATTGGAGTTATCGAAATGGTATCATCAAAGTATGTTTTTGCTCTGTTTTCCAGTGAGATGATAGATCAGAGATTTCAAACTGTATTCGGTTTTAGAACTGCTTGTTATTTTATTTACTATATATACTATCTCATCTGGTCGTATAAAACCTTATTTATTCCACTTGAAAGTAAATAGCTGATCTGCAAATTTTAAATTGAATCATGAAGGGGTAAATGTAACATTCTAAATACACGATGGAATTCGTTTGTTATATCAAAATATGGAACCATATTTTTTTATTATGATAATTTTAGTAGTGCTTTCAAAGTTGGAGATTTGGTAACAAGTATTGGACGGTTATGGCCATGGAGTAGGCTTTTTGTTGCGGATGAAGTTGATCTCGTAAGGGTAAGTGATTGATCTGTATTCAAATTCTTGAAATTTATTTAAAATTCTGAAATTGGAAGTTCTCTATCTTTATCTAATTCATTTGTTTGTTCAAATTGTTTGTACATATGGTCACATTTATATTTAATAGTTGAAGTGTCTTTCATCTTCCTTGTTTAAATACTTTCTCGGTATCTGGAAAGCAAGAGGGAATATGATAGCACAAAAAAAACATCTATTTTTCGTCAAAAATTTTTTAATCTAACAGCTACAAGAGATCTAAGCAACTACTATGGGGTCGAAATCGAAAAAAGAATACGCTAGTATAGTAATAGTTTAGTCTTCTTACTGAACTAAATTTGTTGTGATTCGGAATATTTAGAAAATTTGCAGGTTACTTTACCACCTGGTTTTTCCCCATCAATTATACTGAGCTGTGTGGGTCTGTCTGGCTTAACAGCTTTGCTTGGTATTCAAAAAAAAGCTGAAATTGATCGAACACGACCGCAAACATTTGTCGTTTCCGGTGCAGCCGGTTCATGTGGTTCATTAGCTGGACAGGTTTATCCATTTTATTTATTTTTTTCTTTTTCCTTGGTGAATATGCACTGTTGTCTTACTGAAAGTTTAGCCCAAAAGAGAAAGAGAGAGAGAGAGAGAGATTACAACAGTTGGTTAGTTGATGGCATGATAAGCGTCTTTCAGAGGTTGATATTCGTCTATTTCCGTATGGCCAAGAACTGTGCCATTGGGACGGAATGCGTTGCAATGGATATTGTTTTGGTTCATTGATCAAATTATTTCATTGGGATTTTAATCCATATTGTATGATATAATTCATTATATTTTTTCGTTTCTTCTTTTTTTGTGGTGTTAAGTTAAGAAAGATTTAACATTTTATGAAATGCTATTATAGATTGCACGTTTACATGGTTGTACAAAAGTGATTGGTATTTGTGGTTCGGATCAAAAATGTGCTGTCTTATTGAATGAATGGGGTTTCAATGGTGCGATAAATTATAAACGAGAATCTGTTGTTGATCGTCTGCATAAGCTTGCCCCGGAAGGTGTTGACATATATTTTGATAATGTTGGTGGCTTTGTGAGCGATGCTGTAATATCACTGGTAAGTCATAAATATGTAAGACTATGTCTCGCTGTATTAAATTTGATTCTTATTTCTAGTATTTTGCATGTATCTAATGCTAAATCTTTATTGCGAGTAGAAATGCCATTTGATAATTTTAAAGACACTAAGTAAGTTTTAAAAAAAATGAAAGGTTTATTCGAAATGCTAGCCGTTGACATGTTAGCTTTTTCTGGAATTCACTTGACAGCGGTATTCAGAGCAACGTTATTTTTATTACATTACTAAATTACCATGCAGTCCTGGTGATAGTGTGAAAAATAAGTAGGCTCTACTTTATTTTATTTGCGAGTTAAAACTACCTGAGATGTCTTTTATTATCAATCAATGCATTATTAGATGATGATATACTAATACTCGATGTGCTGATTGGGAAAACATGCAAATTGGAAATATCCAGTAATGTTTTTATAATTTTAAGAAAGAAAAAACTTTCATCTCCAATATAAGAAATCCATTTTTGAAGCACATATTATATAAATCGATAACAGGAGTATATGCTAGAAGTAAGTGAATGAACCTTTAGTGATAGAGGAAATGATGTTTTGTGTTTGAGATACATCATAATAAATGCCGTGTCTTTTTCAACTATTCCAGCATTACTTATTTCAGTTATTTTTAATTTTCTATTTTTAACACTAAAAAGCACTAATTCAACATCTGTATCTTTTGGAATGTATGATATTTGTTCCCGTGTGCATTATTTAATATAGCATTTAATCCAAATTATTTAATGTCGTATTTTTTGATCCAATCTTTTTTCTTTTTTTTTGAGTTCTATTTTGGTTGGAAGTGTCACATCCGTTATATATTCGAAAATGTTAGATGTTCATTTTACTTTTTTGTAATTACAATGGCATATTAATCGCTAAGTGAAGAACTTATTAATTAAGCAAACGGTATTTGTTAAATCAAAGGAATTCGTATTCAGGCAAATATCCATTTTTCTTTTAAGATGAGCGAAGGTGGTCGTATTGTTTTATGTGGACAAATAGCTGTGTATAACACCGACTTACCAAATCCGCCACCTCTTCCGGAGAAAACGGCTCAAATTATTGCGGAAAGAAAAATTAAGAGGTGTAATAATTATTATGAAGGATTTAAAATTTTTTAGATATATGTTTTTTTTTTTATTTTATTTATTTACTGAATTAATTTTCGTAATTTAAATGAATTTTTGCAGAGAGAAATTCATCGTATTGCAATATAAGGATGATATCGACACATCTGTGGCACAACTTTCAGCATGGTTACAGGAGAAAAAATTAAAGGTATGTCATTGTTCACTGTATGGTTAGTAATTTTTTTGGTAAATTATTTTCTGCTTTTTGTTTTGGGAAGGTTTACAGTTTTCGATCTATTACTAGTTTTTTTGTCTGATAATAGCAATTATTCATTGGTCTGTTCATTGTTCTGCACTTTTCGTTATTATCTTTCTTACGGGTTTTTACTTGCTATCACATTTATTTGGATTTTCGGATCATATTGGTAGTATTGTTGTTATTTAGAGCTAAATCTATTCTAAATAGGTTCAAAATAGCTATTATCTTTTATTTTCATTAACGAAATAAATTTGTTACAGAGTAGAGAAACAGTATATGAAGGTTTGGAACGAGCACCAGAAGCAGTTATAGATCTTTTAAATGGTTGTAATATCGGTAAAATGATTGTTAAAGTGGACGATTCATAACTGTTAACAGTACAGTAGATTTTACTTCACTTTTTTGTTTTGTTTTCTTTTTTGTTTTGTTATGTTCCCTTGTCATTTCTTTATTTTTCATTCATAATTTGTAATGAATTTATAGTTTTGCATAACCTCAATGCTACGAGTTATTTAGTACAAATATTGTTGTTATTACCTTTGTAAAGTAGCTCAGTGATAATTATATTATAATTAAACTGATTTTTTAGATACTAAAATATTTCCTGATCTTGTCTTTGCAGATTTATTTCATTTTATTTTATTTAAAAATTTTCAAATACATCAGAAAATTTATTTCGGCTATGTATTATTTTTCGTTCGAATTTCTGTTTCCAAGAGAATTAAGCATTACCAATATGGCAAGCTGCTATGCTAGATGGTATCAAGATATAGATCAACTCCATTGAACTGCATATCGATTTAAGATCATTTAGCGTATCTTAGTTTCAGGATTGTGTGTGCACTATTTTAAATTTGTGTTGTTCTGTTTAGAAGCGAATTTATTTAACTTTCAGTTAGTATATTCCCGGTTTGTTTAATCTTAAGCTTGTTTAAAGCTTAAGATTTCTAATCTCCTTATATTTCTGTAAATGGCTTCACTGAATTATCACCGTTTCATTCTTTGTTTTTATGTGCTCCAATATTAGTAGTCAGTTTAAAAATTCACTCAAAGGAAAGAAACTTCTGATAGAAGTTGATATATTGTTAGCTTTACATTTGTATAATATGTTACATCTCTAATAACAATATACTTCCATTTCAATTTTCTTTTTTTATTGCTATATGAAGAAGTTGTGTTTTATCATTTATTCTTTTAATTCTCTTAAATATGAAATTAAATAAATATGAAATTGTTTATTTGTCTGTCTTATGTACTCTTAATAGGTATTAATTTAGTACCAAATTAGATAGAATATGAATAATCAAATAACAGTAAGCATAATTCCTGTTTTAAGTAGATAACAGTTTTGTGAAGTTTATTTTGCAAGTTTGAGATTAATCTTTCTTTGCACTGAAGTAATTTTGGGCGAAATTTTAAAAGTCATGTTTTGCCATACTAATTATGTCTTATCAGATATCAAATATTGCATTTCATTGTTAATCGCTGCGTAAATATTTATATAGTTAATTCATTTCTTGCTCGCTGTTTAACTGTTTCTGTATTCTAATTATTTATATTATTTAGTATAAATTTATAGATAGATAATCAAAGTTCTACTTGCATTGACAAAGGATCATCATATCATTATACCTTAACATGCACAGTGCAGAATTTTTGAAATATTCCTTTCTACTGTTTTGACTTTATTTTACATATTATAGCCCGTAGTCAGGATTAGTAATTAGCAAATTATTTTTTCCTTCCTGCACATGATATCTGCAAATATTTTATAAATTAATTTCTATTCTTTTTAGGTGAAGTGTGTATTTTTCCAGTTCGTAATTATGGAAATTCTAGATCTACGACATACAATAATTACAAATGCTGAAGTATTCCGTTTGCTACAGGATAGACGAAAACAGCAAAATGAACTTCCAAAAGATCAACGACCAAAGACTATTGGAACAGTTATATATGAGGTATGTTTCATTTTACTTATCCAATAGGATTCTTTTGTTGAGTTATTTGTAATTATATCTATCCGTTATACTTCTTTGTACTTCATTATTAATATATGAAGCTTTCTTCTTGCTACAAATAAGCTAAATTGATGTCCTGAACAGCTATGTTAGAAAATTGTTATGATTGGATGGTCTGTCCTTATCACTAATTTCTATCGAAATATTTTGACCTATTTTTCTTTTCTCAGTAAATTGAATTGTGAACACTTCAATAAATTAATTATAAAGATTAAAGTTGTCATTGCAGACATGCAAATATTTACAAGAAACACCAGCTGTTACGCAAAAAAATGCAGATATTGAACAATTTATTCGTGCAGTAACTCCATTCAAGGTGTGTCTTACTTATTTACATGAAAAGAAGTAGTAGTAGTTATTTCATTGTTTATCTCTATCGTGTCCATTAATTCAACTGTTACTTTTTTAGCCTCTCAGATATCCTATTCTAGTGTATACATCAAAAGTATGCAAGTTTCAAGGAAATGTTTTAGATTCATTAGTATTCTCTTGCCAAAACTTTTTTGCATGATCAATTCAGTACGAAAATTTATTATTGAAAATTTATTCTGTTTTTGACTTTGATAATTTCTTTACAGCTGACGGGGGTAGAGATCTTACAGCTCATAAATTTGCGGCCTATAACAGCTATAGAGGTGAAAATTTTTTACAATTTTTTTTTTTTCAAGATTAAGTTTGTTTAAATAAGTTTTTTGAAATAAATGAAATAATTTGTAGTTTCTAGTATGAACCTCAATCCAGAAAAATAGTTAAAGAAAACTAGCTTTGGTTATTACTGGTTGTCTATTTTTATTCTTCCGGTGTTGTTTTGATTGTAACATTGAATATCTCAGATCCAACTAATAGTGGAAGAATGTGAAGAACGATTAAACGAAGAACAAATCGATTCTTTAATAGCTGTAAGTTTCATACTTGCACTATTAGTTTTTAATCAGTTGAATGAGAAAGATAGTGGAACACACATATATGTAAAAAAATATTTTTTAGATAATTCAAGAAAATTTGCCGGAACCATTATCTGATGTTTCTAAAGTGAATACTACCAGTGAAAAGGAAAGCTGATAACAAATTTGTGAAATTTCAAATTAAATGAATGAGATTTAAATGAAGAGAAAAAAAAAATATTTGTACATGTGTTCACATAACGGGTATAAGTGGGTGAATTGGCGACATACTTTATTATGTCAAATAAAGGATCAAATTTTATTCAAAGAAGATTGCTGTCTTTTTGCCTTCTTTCTACAATCACAGATAGTTTACTCAGTGATTTACCTCTCCGTTGTTATCATACTAAATAAAACTTACGATTTTGTAACTTATTTATATTTGCCACTTGATCATATGATATGAATGTTTTAACAATAATTTCTAGCTTTTATTTGTTATAACTTATGTAAATATATGTATGGATAAATTTCTGATCTTAAGAAATACATTCTAATTGTCACTGTTAACTTTTAGCTCTTCACATAATTTCACAAGCATCTTTTGGTCGTGGCCTCCCAACACGATTTCGAGTCAAACAAATTTTTGATTGCTGCGACGATATAATTGCAGCTAAAACATCGTTGAATAAATCTTCAATTCCTTCCTGAAATGATTTAAATATTAGTTTAATTTCCGCAAAATATTAGTCAGAATAGAAAGTGTTATTTCTTTTTTTCAGTTTGATTTTCTGAAAAAAAATGAAAGAATTTCTATTTTTATCTATTTGCTTAAACTTTGATTTCAAACAGTTTAAATTTCCAGTTTAAAAAAAAAAAAAAAGATTGGATTTTTTTATACGTAGGTTTTAGTGGACACTTCACAGTAATATGAGGCTTTCAGTTCCGTAGCTAAACTTTGGCCGATTTTTGTTGTAATTAAGCTTTGAAATGTTCGCGGATCTTTGTTATCCGTTCTAAAATGGGCAATATATTTTTTCTTTTTTTTTTTTTTGATGTAACAAATCTGTTTGTAATTTCAATGAAAATAAGATGAAAAAAAAAAAAGCAAATAATTACTTTTTAAATTGATTTCTTGGTTTATACGGTGACTTCGTTGTTGTGTCTGGAGCAAAATGGAAGATGAATTGGAAATTTCTGATTAAATTTGCTCAACAAAAATTTTTTAAGTGTTGGAAGGAACTTACCAACTTCAATATCACCAAGCTGTTTTCGAAATAGCAATTGACGGACATCACGTGGTAGCCGTGCTTCGATACCTGTTGCGCAAATAATGAACGGTGTATTACGATAGAGACATCTAACAGTAGGAACCCACTGAATGCATGAAAAAAGTTTGAAATCTGTTAAACATGCAAATATAATTTTTGAGAGAAATGTAATTCTGATATGTTCCATTCTTTCTGAAGTTTATTCATCAATTTGTCAACTAATGCTATCCTAAAATGCTATCAAATTATCAATTAATGCTATCCTAAAATGCTATCAAATTATCAATTAATGCTATCAAATTATCAATTAATGCTATCCTAAAATGCTATCAAATTATCAACTAATGCTATCAAATTATCAATTAATGCTATCCTAAAATGCTATCAAATTATCAATTAATGCTATCAAATTATCAACTAATGCTATCCTAAAATGCTATCAAATTATCAATTAATGCTATCCTAAAATGCTATCAAATTATCAATTAATGCTATCAAATTATCAATTAATGCTATCCTAAAATGCTATCAAATTATCAACTAATGCTATCAAATTATCAATTAATGCTATCCTAAAATGCTATCAAATTATCAATTAATGCTATCCTAAAATGCTATCAAATTATCAACTAATGCTATCCTAAAATGCTATCAAATTATCAATTAATGCTATCCTAAAATGCTATCAAATTATCAACTAATGCTATCAAATTATCAATTAATGCTATCCTAAAATGCTATCAAATTATCAATTAATGCTATCCTAAAATGCTATCAAATTATCAACTAATGCTATCCTAAAATGTTATCAAATTATCAACTAATGCTATCCTAAAATGCTATCAAATTATCAATTAATGCTATCTTAAAATGTTTTAAATTTGTTTGCAAAATTATAATAATTAATCACCATTTGATGGATGCTTTCAAATTGTCGCAAGCTACTGATATGATAAAAAATAATGATAGCATCCAGATGACTACATCGGATCATCAATGGAATTCGTTTAAAATCATCAATTCGTCCTGCACACATCAATTCAAGCTAGAATTACAACATAATGCATTTCAGAATTTAACCATTATATTCATTTATTATTTTATTTTTTAAAGTCTAAACTTATTTTTTTAAATTCTTAATTTGATTTAAAAAAAAAAAATTTTTTTTTTGAATTTTAAGGTTTCAATTCATTCAGTAAAATGAATTCTCCTTAAACGAATAATCTTTTAACTATAAAATGAATTTTAGTGGAAAACATTTTATTGTTAAACTTTTAGCTTTTGAATTTAATTACTCTGCACCGATAATACATTATTATCATTTGAGTATTGCAAATGATAAGAAATATATTGGATTATTTCAGGTGTTACACCTATTTTACCTGAAATCCCTGAACAGTGACAACATTTGAATCGAGTACATCAATTCGTTCAGATATATCGCCTTTCTAGAATTCTAATCTTTAATTATTATCAAAAAAAAAAAGCAAATCACTAAATTTTAAAATTTGAAAAAACAAAAACTCTTAAAGATTAATTAATTATTTTTTATTATATTAATTAATCACAAACTAATGCTTTTTCAGCTTTAAGCTGATTGTTTCGATTTGACATTAATTGAACATAAGCTCGACGAACACTATTTTTCTCTGAACCAGGTTCACCAACCAATGCAACACGAAAATATGTCAAACTGCTTGATTTACCTGCTTAAAGTTTTTCCTTTTTTTTTTTAAAAATTTTTTAGAACTAAAATTTTTGAATAAATTTTGCATCAAATTTTGCATTTGATGCAAAGAAAATCTATAAAATTAATTCAACTAGGAGAAATTGAATTTAGCTCACAAATGAAGATTAAAAGTTGATTAAATTTGTTGTTAATTTTAAATAATCTAAATCAAATATAAATTAATAATAATCGATGTGTTTAAATTTTGTATATATGAAACTATGAGCATTTAATAATTTGAAATATTACTTTTAAAATCTATTTCTGGTGAAAATTTCTCAAAAGATCGTTCTTCTTCTGATGCAACTTTAATTTTTGGCTTTGATAATGAACGATCAGATGATACGACGACATTCATTGTATCAAATATCTGATAGCGATTATCACTATCACTATTATTATCACCACTACCACCACCACCACCACCACCACTAGCAGTAACCTAATAAAATGAAAATGAAATGAATGACAATGAAAGTTCAAAAATTCAAATTTCACTTTTATTTTTATTTTATTTTATGAAATAGTGAGAATGAATTGAAATGTCATTTAATTCATATTTGATTTGATCCATAATAAATACGATGAATAATATATATTGAATGTCAACAATTTATTATTTGTATACATGAAAATTTCTTGTCAAATGTGTCACTAAAATGATAGAAATTGTTTGCAAAACATTTAGATATTAATCTCATTTTAAAATAAACAATATTAAGTGAGAATTTATGATATATTAAGAATATGCAATATGCTTAATAAAATATTTATGTGATTAAAGCATGCAAAGCATTGATGATATGAATTATTAAATAAAAAATGTATATATTGAAGAATATTTTTGTAGTAAGAGAGACCCATCTTATGATATATAATCAATTTTTTTGTTGAGATGATCAGTCTTTCGTATTTACATTTTTTTTTTTCTTTTTTTTACTATTCTATGAATGAACTTTGGAAAAATTCACTTAACAAATATATTTTGCTATTGTAAACAGAATTCACGTGTTCATATGATAAGAAGCATATTTAGCTTTCTTTTTTATTATTAGCAAATGAAGAATATTTCCTCATCCATAATGCAATCAATATCTTACCTGAGCCAAACTTCTTTTTTTATTAATTGAGATCACAGCAGCATTTGAGTGAATGTTGTTGATAGTGAAGGATTGATAAAATAAAATGTCTACATTGCATCATTCGAATTTGTCTTTTTTTTTCAGACGTTTATTTTTCAACAAAAATAATTTATGAGTTCGCTAATAGTAATTTATAATAAGCTGAGGTTTGCAGTAATTATTTCACTTTTTCATGGTTAATTACAAAGTATTAAATACAAATGTAGAGGAAGAACTTACAAATGTAGAGGAAGAACTCAATGTATATAAAGCAAGAATATTGCATTCAATAAAAAAAAAAAGGTAATAAGTATTAAACAAAAGGTCATGTAAAGGAGAGGATTAGCATGGATAGATGAACAGAACAGTGAAGCAATATCAAATAGAGCAAATACAGCATACGCATATTTTTGAAATGATCTCACATAAAAGTATGATTTATAACAATTTTAAAGCAACAAAACTTGAAAAAATTTTTTTCAAAGAAGATTTAAAAAGATAACATAACATCACATATCCAAAACCACAAAAATAAACCGTATATAAAAACCACTTCTCCATACTCTCGAGCAAAATATTCAAGAAAAAGCAATTAATGTCATATTTAAACGAATGAGAAAAAAAAAAGGTGTGACACTACTGCTTAGCATACTCTTGCCCTGATTTTATTTGCTGCAAAAGTTCAGCTACCCTATGTAAACTGATTGCTGGGCACCACTTTCCGCTCGGAATACTTCCCTGCAGCTGCACATGCAAAGTATCCAGTATCTATAAGAAGTTCATTTTTTTTTCTAGAAATTCAATTCCACCATTATCTTTTGAAACTAAATTCTCAAAACATTTCTTAGCGCGAATTATCATCGATTTACATAATCAGTGCTTTCATGAAAAGTAATTTCTCTAGCTAATAAATGAAATAACTAAATTCTTGATTTCACAATTTTCACCTTCGTAAGCTCTTTGAAAATATTTTAGCCAATAAAGAAAAAGAAATGATTAAATTCATATCAAGAAAAAAGTGTAAAATTCAATAGACATTAACAGTTAATCACAGATT